TCGCCACCATTGCGGCAATTTTGCGAATTATATTGAGCGATTGGAGGGGAGGGCACTGAGTGGGAGAAAGGGGTGTCAGGGGGTGGATGAGAGGGGGTGGAGGAGGATCGCCGAAGCGCCACGCATCGCGACGTCGACGATGCACTCCGGGAGGAAATAAAAATGAGAGAGTGAGATAGAGATAAAGAGAGAGTGATAAAAGAGAGGGAGAAATGACTGAGTCAACTGAACAAAGGAAACTCGGTAGCGTTTAACGCTAAATAGAGTGTAAACTGATGTCTATTATGTTTTCCAGGTTTATTTATTTATTTTACCGTTTTATTTTCAGTGGGTGATTCTCGATTTAGAGGAAGATATTGATATTGAGGAAGTCAAATGCACTTCCTAGTTTATCTTGTTTAATTTGCTGGAGAAATGTTTGTACTCATTGAGGAATTGTACGATAATTGAATTTTGAAAAATGAGTTTATAGGATTTTATGCCCGGGGGAATGAAACGGTTTTCATTATTAATTCAATAGCGAAGGGGTAACGAGTAACGATTCAATTCGAATGCGTAATTTTTTTGGGGAATATCCCTGAATGCAGGAGAGATATCGAAAATTTTGTCAGTACTTTTTTCACAGGTTTTTATTCACTGGAGAAATGAAGTCTTTTGAAAGATTTTACTATCTTGCTCGCATTCATACATGTACTCGACAATGGAACAAGTCTATTACTGCTCTTCCCAACTAATTCCGCTTATCGCATTTTAACACTGAATTCTGTCAGCTCCTGAGGTAATTCGAAATAAAAAATGAAATACTCGACTTATTACGTTCACCCCCCGAAAATGTCTTTTATTCATTACTGAACGATGAAGGAATGCAGAGGGTCTAGAAATTGGCAAGATGACAAGCACGCCAGTTGGGTGTATCAATTTAGATACCCCAAGAATATTTCTAACCCGCGCACAGAATAGAACGAAAAGGCTTACGTGATAAACGTCAAGACGTTACAAGAATGAGGAAAAATGAAAATAATTTTTTTTCCCAATAAAACGAGACAAATTCAAAGCCACAATCTCCCCTCTTTAACACCCACATTTTATATCTGTTATTTCCGGAAAATTTGGAGAAGATATAAATAAAAGTGCTCCGAGGAGAGTTAATGGTGGAAATAATTTCACTCCTCAATGAAAAACGAGAGTGAACAGATGAACAGTTCAACGCAACTTCCCTCAGTTTCAACGTTTTCATGGTAAATAAATGAGAGGGGCAAATGTATATAGCCCGAGTACATCCAAAATGACTCGACATCTGGCACGAATGAGATACACGTGTCTAGATATATGAGTTTCGTATGTGTCTCTGGCAATAACCGTCGAGGTACACAAAAGAAATTGGCTAAGAAATTGTTTGGGACCAAGGGCAGAAATTTTGTAATTGGGTATTAATTATTGCTGGTATTTAATTGGTAAATTAAATAAATAGGACTAAGTTCTAAGTTCCATAGTTCCATAGTTCGTTGAATTATCGTTTAGAAAACGATAAATTGAGTTAATTCACGCTTTAAGAAATTCGCGTCATTCAAAATAAAATCCTGAGCATTTCGTTTTTTCAGTTCAGGTTTTTTTCGTATTCAATGCGCTGACGCAATGCTAGAGTCAAATTCATAAAACCAATTGCAATTTATACTTGAGAATGATATTACCCTGAGATTATTTAACGTTAATAACCACCAGAGACTGTGGATTATTAATCCATCGAGATCACTGACCTATCGTCCGCCAGTCTCTCCCAATGTTTTCAGATCGTTTTGAATATATTAATTGAGATTTTTTTTAATCACTCACCGCGACACTTTACACCAACTTTTCCTGTACCCCAAATGTAGTCCTCACCTGCAATAAATTAATTTCGTTTAAACATCGCTGGAAATTTATTTCACTGAATTTCATTTCTTTGATTCAGAGATAACTCACATTGCACACACAAGATTGGCGTTACGAAGTAAATATCCTCGAGAGTGTGAAGATATTTGTTGGGATTTGGGCTGCAAGATGCGACTACATAAGATGCTGCAACAATTTTTTAAAATAATTTTCATTTGAATTCAATGAAAATACCGCTGAGATTGTACTATTTAATTGCTTACTGTTGGGTCCATTGCTGAGGGTAACATACGAGGATTCTTCTTCAGTGTTTGTGTCCAGATGAGACGATATGTTTCCTTTCAGCATTAGGACTTCCTCTTATGTACCTCTAGCCACTGAAAAAAAAAATAAATTCAATTAATTATACAGTAAAACCGGTATTTCTGTAATAAAATTGAATTATCTACGGAGTAAGTGCTGGCGCGACGAAATGTCTAGCGAGTTTTCTTGTGAAAAATTTTGCATGTAACCCACAAAAACTGCTGCCTGGCATTTTCTCATAAATACAATAATTACCGAGAAACGTGTAAATTAAGAGAAAAAAAAATCAATCTAAATGATGAGTCAAACCACGAGGCAGTTTATTCGTACCATAAACTCCATACATGAATAATTAGCAATCAGTCCATAAACCTTTGTACATCTCCATGATATAATAAATAATTTGATGACAGAATTTTTAATAAATATCTCGGAATCCACACGAAATAACGATTTTTTTCGAAGACCTTTTCCGTTGGTCGAAACAAGAACTACGAAAAAGGTCATTACGAAAATTTCGCTATCTCTCTTGAATTCATAATTATTAAACGAGTTTGGCGAAGAGTGAAACTTTTACTGAATTTCTTCCGGCAAAAATCTGGAGAATTCATATCTTTCAATGTTTTATCATGAGCTATCGTGATAGAGTCTTAAATATCAATTTTCATAACTCACCAGGTACAAAATTTTTCCTTCTGATTGAATAATAATTATCAATGATACTGCTTTCCCCCAGTGATGTATGGATTAATTATCAGGAGAAGAAATCTTTCTGATATCCTGGATGGATCAAAGAGGACTTTCGTCTCTGAATGATGATCCTGCGTATGCCTTTACTGGTCATTTATAATTACCGTCTTGTCAACATGTTTCAAACATTTAATAACAATGTTTTTATAGTTATTCATGGGTCATGAATGGACACAGAAGTCTCTCCATGTTTCTTTCTCTTATTGTTAATGCAGAAACGTTGCTGTAAATTATCTCAATTGTGAAAATATTGATCCTTATCACCGGTGAGTTCAATGGCCTCTCGAGAGATTTTCAACATGCTTCCACAGACTCTCGTGTTCTCCGTTTTATTTTCATTAATGATTAATCCTAATCCAACGATTTTCACGGTGATTAATCGACTGAGCAACTTCCACTTATTCGTTAATGATTATGTATAAAAGAGCAATAAGGCTGTGTATTAAAATGCTTTTCAAATGGCAAAATGTACCATCCAAAATTGTCTCTCGGTACAGTTTGATTGTAAACTTGTGCAGTGCTTCTGTGTTTCTCTACTGCTGATTGTTTTTATCTTTGATTATAATCAACCAAATCCAAGCACCTTGTGATATTCTTCACTAACTAGTACTTTATAAAATTGTTTATGTTAGTAATCGTGTTATGTTGCTTTGACTTCGGTCATTTGTCATCACAGGTTGAGCATTACTGGATTTTCGTCCTGCGAACAAAAATAGAAAACTCAAATCATTACCGAAATTTCGAGACGATGACACAACCCTTACAATAACAAAAACACGACGTTGTGAGTAATCGCTGTGACTTTAGATATTGTATTCAGAATTTTTCAAACTATTTTGAAACTTTACCGGACTTGCTAACAGAGAGAAAAAAATTCTGTACATCGAATCACTCTCGCCGGAGATGAATGCACGATTACTCGAAATGTCAACAGCATCTAGTATTCTAGTACTCATTCCTCCACTCTATTCGAGTGGTCTTTTTATTTCCTCACGCATTTTAAATTTCCTACATAATGGTTTTCCTACACGTGTACCCCCACAAGATTCTCCTTTGTCTTTTTTTTTCAGACACGCAACCAAATCATAGATCAGTATTAATTTTCATATCCCTTACTCACCAGTCGACCGATCTAAAAATAAAACCCCAGAACTATTCATTGGAGGTATTTCAGAACTGCTCCATAAGCTACACATGTGTATCAACTCAGTAGTAACAATTTACGATTAATTAACAAATAGGAAATAGTAAAAAGTGAAAATTGAGTATCTCGAGGCAAGAGAGCGACCTCTGCGTGCAGCACGCGTGCAGCATCACCGGGGACGAGACCAACTGTTTGAAAAATCTCGTCATTTATGAAAACCCGATGATTAATTACTGTTCAAGATGACACCCCATTAAACCCCCCGAAAATCAATCTCCATCCTGTAAAAGACACGATAGACTTCGAGGTGGCGCACGCCTTCCCCAAGTACCACTGATTTTATACTTCGCAACGAGACGAGTTGAATGATCTCCCGCACTGACAAAACCTTCAAAAAACCACAGGCACAATTTTCCGGATCTATTTACCCACTGAAAACTTACGCGATGATAAAAAAAAAGAAACAGAGGAAAAAAATCACACAAAAAATCACACACAACAGTACAATGACAACCGGACACTGGAATTCCAATAAAACAGCGGAATGAATAATAAAAATTGATAGAGTACACAAAAATGTGAGGGAATAAACTTTTTTTTCTCCCCCTGGGAGAGGATAAAAAAAAACTCACTTTGCTTGGAACGCAGTTGTCTGTGGTCGATTTGGCGGTGGGAAAAGGCACAGTTTCTTTCCTGATTTGTTGTTTTGTTAGAAATTTATTATTGGTGTTCGGGGGTTTTGTTGAGATTATAATTATTGTTTTCCGTGATCACAACACGGCTGCAGCACGGTTAACCCACGGGAGGCAGGAGTCACTGCTATCGGCCATTGTGATGCTAAACTCCCAAGATGGCTGACTAGGGGATTCAGCATGGCGCTAGAAGTCACTAGTGGCGGCATCTTTGAATTTTTTATTACACATCTCAACTGAGCTCTTGGAACTGGGGAATTGTTTTGATAAGGCAGGTGTCAGTTATTGTTTTCAAGTATTTTGGAGCGTTTTGGAGAGGTTGGAGATCGTTGGAGACGATCATCGACGTCTCGTGTATTTATTTATCGATATTTATTGTGTATTAATTTTTTTGGAAGCTTTTGTTGAGAGTGGAAAATGGTGAGTAATTTGAAGCCCGAATGCTCTGTTTGCACGTGGTACCCGAAATTCGCCAAAGTCTCGATAGAATCGAGGGTTTTGAGAATTCCTGAGGAAGTTTCCAAGTATCTCGAGGATGAGGCTTTTGTCTTGCCTTCTGAGGCGGTGGAGAAAAGGGTCGGGGGGTCAGAATGGACTGATGGATCTGCGGTTGAGGATTCCGGGGAGGTGAGAAAAGGAGTTTCAGGTTTTTGGCGACTCAAAGGAGATTTCAAGGGGATTTTTCGTATTGTAGGAATCCGAGGAGCAACCCTCCTTTCCGGAGTTCAGTCGACAGGTGCAGGAAGTGATTGATGAGTTCGGAGCTGTTTTCGTGAAAACCAATTGGAGAACTCCTATGGTGAGATTATACGAAAGTGAGTCGGGGAATTAAAAAATTAACATGGATTAATGTTTGTCCTAGGATGCAACATGGGTTGCTCCGACAAAAACCCTGAAATGCACATCACTGGAAGAAGTCTATCTCCTCCTGAAGAGTTCTGACAGAATTTCGGGGGATCTTAACGCTGTCAGACAATTTTCTTGTGATTCTGGGGGATTGAAGTCTTGTCTTGTGCTTAAACGATGGAGAGACATCAATCCCAGCTCAGAATTCCGATGTTTCGTTATCAATAGACAGTTAATGGGTAATAAACCCTCAGTCAGAGGTTCAATACTGCTCTCGGCTTCTTCCCTTGTATTTAATCTCGTTTTTCCTCTGTAGGAATTTGCCAGAGAGACTCTTCACAATTCCATCCTTACATCGAGACAGATAAATACAACATACAGAGAGATATCACGAGTTTATTCAACGAGAAAATAAAAGATAAATTTAAGCTTGATAATTGTAGGTAGCGGAAAAATATGAGATGATTCAAGAGGAATTTGTGGTTCACTTGCGATTGCATTTTGCTTCGCAGATACATTCGACGTGATTAGGATAAAGAAAGATAGAGTGAAAATAGTCGACTTTGGTCCCCTGGATGAATCATCGACAAAGGGAACTCTCTTCAGTTATTCTGAACTTCGTGACTCAATCCCAGAGCCTCCGGAGTTCAGATTTATAGCTGAGGATATGGGAATTCAGCCGAACACCGCCAGTCATTTCTGTGTTCCCCAGGAAATCAACGAGTTCTTCAGGACTGGAAATAGTTCCGTGATGGACATATTACGCAGGGTAATTATCCCCAAACCCCATCCCCTCCGACAATAAATCTAAAATGAAATTTTTTATTTCAGGAAGTGGAAAACCAGAGCCTCGAATAACAACTCAATGAATAAACTCATGAAAAGAAATAAAATTATTTTTCAACAAAAAAAAAGGAATTTTCAATTATCCATTGCCCCAGAGGTGCATCAATGCGAAAATAAAAGAAAAAGGGCAGGTGTTTTCACAATCAAAAATCTCACCACTCAAATACAGAACTTTCATTTATATTCTGTCAGACCCTCTTCTATTGATACATTACATAAACTGATGAAACACTATTCTAGGTTGTTTTTCCATTTTAAAATTTGTTTTTCTTGAAAGAATTATCGTAATATTGCAATATCTTTTTTGTCAGACCGTCAATCTTAGCGAGCGACGTGCCTATTTATAGAAAATATGTCTTGTTTATATACAATATGCAATCCCCAATACTTCCACATTTGAAATCTGAAAAAGGATTTTTTTTTTTCACGATATATGTTTTCCTGACACGTATTCATTATTCATCAATTAATTCTTCCATCATAGCTGTACAATCATATCCCCGGAGTATTCAATTGATTCACTCATTGTATTCCCCCAATTAATCCATCCAAAGTGTTCAGCTAGTGTTAAAGCTGCAAATAAAACAAATTATGCGCTCGTTTACCTTTAACTTTGTCTTTTATATATTAAAGCCGTCTGATTTCTCATTTATTAAATTATTGATTTTGGTACCATTCGGTATTATACTTCACCATTTGTGCATTGTTCGTCTCATCTCAGCACTCACACATAATCGTTTATATATATTATTTATATAAATACACGAGTGCAATCAGTAAATAAATCCATTAATCATTTTATTCCCGTTCAATCACTGATGATGATAATGAAACTGATAAGAATGCATTCACTGATACCAAACTGTATTGCTAGTTGATAAGAGTATGATAATGGTTCTTCTCCTCTCTAAAACTTCTCCATCGACACAATCATCTGCATCAACAGTTAATCATCTCTATTTTATCCTCTCATTCTCCCCGATTTTTAAATAATTACAGAGCGATTAAAATTATTATCGCACTAATACTAAGTATTTACAGAACGGCAGATGAGCATTACGAGAATGTTGATGCTCCCACCACTGCCATTCCGTTTTATCTCATTGTTATTTATCATTTTCATTATTTATCGTCTTGCTTTTTGTTCTCATTCATTTGTGCTAATTAAAAATTGTCTTAAGGTAGCCGTATGCTTTGGGCAATTGTGAACTCAGTGAATTCATTTTATTCTTTATCTCTGTCCATGTGTTATTAATTTGTTTTTATTGGGCTTCATAACTGATTAAATCAGTCACGACGCAAATACAACCGCTCTGAATACTGTTCGAAGGTGCTAAAGTGCACGTTATATCGTTTATTTCAGTTAAACTCTTACAAATGTACATTACAAAACCTCTTAAGTTTATCCTTAGGGGCCCTTTAAGCTTCTTAAGTACCTGGGATTAGCACTGGAAAACTCATTTATATTTATTTACTATATTTATTATTCAATCGTTTCACTTAATCACTAGTTAATCGTGTTATTTTATGGTGGTTTTAGTCATCTAATTAAATGCATTTGGTACGACTAAATGGAGGATTTTCTTTTTCCAGAAGCTTGCCACCAATTTGACAAATTTTTTTTTTTCCTTATTTTACCAAAGAAATATTTTTAATCATTGAAAAATACGAATTTATTATTTCAGGCGAAGAGAAGCTTTCGCCATGATTTTTGTTTACACGTAAAACATTGTTGCTAACTATTAAATGTACAGGAAGATAGAAGATCGTATTTAGGTTTTTTTGTTGTTTAATTTAAGGGCACAGTTAGCAAACTGAATTTAATGGATAATTTCATTGGAGAATTTAATTGAAGTTTCTACAAAATGAGAAGTTTACGGGGAATCTTCTCGTGTTGAATTTTTTTCAGATAATAATTGCGTGAGAAAAAATGATATCGATCTCTGATAAGGAGATTTAGGAGAAGAGTGATAGGTTTTTGGGCTGAAAATAAATTGCTGATAAGAAGTAACCAAATGCCTATGAACTGATGAAAAATGAACAACTCACTAATCTCGAAGGTAATTGCACACGAAGAAAATCAAAATAAACCGATAAACAATAGTCGTATTATAAATACGAAATTTTATTGAACTAAGGTTTTTTCATTTATAATGAGATCAGTTTAAAAATGAAATGAACAATTAAAGTACACATAATTATTCAATATATTCTACTTCACAGTCGTTACAAACATTTCTCTAATCCTATATAAATGAAATAAAAAAATGAAGGGAAATGGGAGGATTAATGTTAACACAAATTCGCGTATCTACAGTTTTCTCATTTTCTCTATTTATCGTTCAAATTCTCTCATCAAAATGTACTCTTATTAGTTCACTATTTGTAACTAAGTAACAAATCATTTATGATTGATAGAAATCTTCGTTAATTTCTGAGAATTTAGTACTGGTTTTACCCCCTCCTTTATCAATTTTTTTAAATTTTCAGTAATGAAGCAATAAAACGTCATTGATCGAATCGCTTTTTTGATAAATGAGAGAATCTCAAAATTTTTATAGCAACGATAAAATTTCGTCCAAATTTTTCTAAAGTCAATAATTCCACCGATAAATCACGTTCCACAACTTCACTACAGATTTCATCAATCAATAATTACCATACAAAATCATAAACACATACTTTATCGTTGAATTCCCCAGAGATTTGTTCACAAAAAAATGGGATGCATCAGAAACGAATTGTCTCGTTGAATTCCGCCCCAGATTCAGAAATAAAACGAAGCAGTTTTGTACTAAAGTGCAGCGATATTATACGATATATATACTTTGTTTTTTTTTTACTTTTTCCATGAGTTTTTGTTTTTCCTATAGAAAACTACTCGAATGTACAGAATGGATTTACCCGCGCACTGTGACAGATTGATGATAAATTCGGGCCAGGTGATTTAAAAAGATGAAAAAAAAATGAAGAAAATACTGACGAAATTGGAGAAACGTAATACCGAAAGTTTAAAATCAATACATCTGTTAATTTGGAATTGACTCAGAGAACGATAAATTCCAAGGAAAAGTATAATGCACTTTTCCCTGGAATCCTCATTATCATGACTTATATTACGTCGAACCACTTCACCACTGATTAATCACCGGTGAACAAAATCATCATCAAACGATCGAAATATCAAAACGCAAATGACTGTTCACGCCCGATAAATCCACGGACAGATGCGAGAGAGCCAGAGCCCTAAAGTGAAAAATTCAAACCCCTGACCTCTCAAAATCCCCAAATTCCCCGAATCGCTCCAAACACTACTAATGAACAATAAAAAATTTTAGTCTGTATTGGCTTGAGACCAAGCTGTGCAATCTGGCATTTAATACAATAAAACAAAACCATAAAAAATAATAATCAAAGAAGAAATGAGAAAAAAAAACCTAAGAAGAACCTCTCATCCCGAAAAGATACTGTTCACTACCTTCTAATAATCTATCAATAAGTTTCTCTTCAAGTTCATTAATAATCTTCGACCCGAGCCTCACCTGACTAGAATTGCATTTCATTTTCTAATTGTTCATTTAATCCCACAACTCCATTAGTCCACCCAATCATCGCATCACTAAATCTAGAATCATTGTATGATAATAACAACACCTAAACGTAAAACGATCACCTACATCATAAGAGCTTTCCCTAAATCCAATTAATTGAATCTTACTCAATAATCATTAATGAAGAGCATTACCTAAAATCTCCCACATCAATTAAACATACCCCTTACCTCGATTAGCTTCATGAAGCCTGCTATACACTGATCAAGCATCCTATGTACATGAAAATTAAGATAAACCCTTGAAAAACAGGGATTCAATCGTTAGAGAAAAATCCCTCCCACTCACCCCTCGAAAAAAAAAAATCACCACAGCATTCACTCAACTCCCAATAACTGACAATTTCCCTCAATAACTTTTTGGTCAAGTGCTGCAAGTACTAACTTACCCCCTACAATTAATAGTCTGGTCATCAACCCCGTCGAAGCTCCCTCCCCCCTCAACTGTACAAATTCCCCAATGAAACCGTTAATTACGCGAGAGTAAAATAAATTACATTCGCTAACACTACCTCTTCTTCCCAATTTGTTTGCTGATCAATTTTTTCTTCAACTTGTGATCAACTTTGACAGACTTTTTCTTCGGTCTCTCCGGCGATCCATTGCAGCACGCGCATCCCTTCTTGACGTGTCCCCTGAGGCTTGATCTCCTTGCACGACAATCAGGTTCAATGAGCGTGGCATGACAGGTGTCATCGTCAGATGCCTCCGATGTTTTATCACTGGTGACAACGGCCTCACTGATAACGTCCTTGGCGCGTTTAGCAAGAATAGCTTTGGCATCGGCACGATTCAAAACCACCCTGGCATTGACAAGTTTATCCTTCTTTTTGAGATAGGTGCAGTGATCTGTTTTCCCCTGGATATTGTCATCGAGACCATTGGTAATGACATTGTCGTCATTCTGACTGGATATTGACTCGCTGATGCTTGAGTCCTCGTCGTCACTGCTGGATCTCGTTCTCTCGGATATTGGACTCTCCCAGGAGAGATACTCAGCCGTGAGTACCTTGGATTTTACTCGTTTTTTGTTTGAATATGTGTACTTGTGGGTGGATAACAGGGGACCAGCTATTGGTGAGAGTGGTGAGGGTATTGTCACGTCAGTTGTGTTGGTAGAGAGTAGAGGAAGGGATTCATCCCCAGAGCTTGCTGTTGCATTATTGGCGGTGAGGGGAAGTGACTCGGAGTCAAGATCCATGTCGAGTTTGATGTTCGAGGGAATGGACATTGAGGCACTGCTGGGAGAGCCCTCCTTCGAGCCATTTCTCGACACGATCTTCTGTTGATTATCATTATCCATGGATGCTGCATGCCCTGGAGACATTCTGGAGATATCTGATGTGCTGGAGCCATCATCCTGACTGAGATTCTCTGGACTCAATCGCATGTGTTTCACTGGTGTCTCCAGTGGATCCTCAGGTTTCTCACGCTTTGGTCTTTTAACAGCTTCTCTGATGGCCCTCCCTCGTTGCCCCGGTGTTTTTCGTCTCTCATTCACTTTAACATCAACAGGACTGGCATCTCTGCTACCACTGGACGAGTCTAACGGTCGAAAATAAGTCGCATTGAACTTGACACCAAGGGGTTGAGAGCACGAGGCATCCTGGGAGGAGTGATCGAACGAGGGTGAGTTATTGGTATCGAAAAAGAGATCAGCCTCGGGGAAAAGATCACTCGTACTGGGCTCGTCCACCCCCAAGTCCTCGCACTCCTCTGACAAACTCTTCTGGAGCCTCAATTCACGCTCCAGAGCTGCACGATTTCTATCCAATCTCTGCATCTCCCTGTCAACCCTGGGATTCGACTGATTCTTCACTATTGTCCCTTTGTTGTACTGTTGAAAGGGCTCCAATGTGTGATTCATGTAATACTTTTTAGCGTTCGTCTGGAAAACCTGACCACTCGCCATCTCGATCCCCTGTCCCTTGTTGATGATCTGCAGAACATTCTGGACGTTCTCGGAATTTTCGCCATCTCTCGAGTAAACTTTCAGGGGCTCAATGTTGAGTTGATTCGTGGAGGTGGGTACAAACCTCCACGGGGTCTCGGGTGAGGGCTTCCGCTCAGGCTCCCAGGCCTCCTGGAGTCTCGCATTTCCACACAAAACCCCATTCTCCACTTTAATTGTCGCCTCCAGGGTCTCACTGGACTGTCTCAATGGCGACTGCTGATCCACTGACCTGCCAGCCTGTTCAGAAATCGAATAATCGCCTGAATCTTCAATTTTCGGAGCTGTTGTCACCGATACTGGCTCCACTTTGATAGTACTCTGAAGACTCGTAATAATTCCCGAAGATATTGAATTGCCAGGTAAAAGTCCAGGCGGTGGTTTCTCGTCGATATCCAAAGTATCCTCTATTTTTCTCTTGACAGCTTTTGGTGATATAACTTTATCCCCAGACGTTATCTCAGTGGAAACCTCCTTCGTCTCCTTCTGACTCTGCTGGCCCTGATTGTTATTGATCACGGGCACTTCCGATTGCGTAGCAAATGCCAGAGCAATCGTTCCATGCATCTGCACAGACTTATCCCCCGGGGTTTCCTGATTTTTTTTCTCAGATTGAGATCCACCCGATGCCTGGGCCAGACAAACCACACCTTCAGTCTTGATTCCACCTGACAATTTAGCAATGGACGAGTTGAATATCCTCGTCCCCTGAAGCGTCAAATTGGGATTACTTGTGATAACTCCACATATCTGCTGTCCCTCAGTTATATCCGATAGATTTCGTTGGATTAATCCAATGGCAGGGGATTTGTTCACTAAAATAGTGGGCGTTTCACTGACTGGAGTCGTCGGTTCGCTTTTAGGTACGATCTCAGGGGCTTCGGTTTTAATGGTAATTTCATTAGAGTCATTGAAGCCACTGGTGCCAGTCTGAGGGATAACGACCGATGCATTCTGCCCGCTCTGAGTATTCAGACCCTGAGATGTTGTCAATGCCTGCAGTGTTGGCATTTTTACCTGTTTTACCTGTCCAGGTGTTGAAATGATTTTACTGGCCTGATTGAGGAAGGACTGGAGAACTAGGGCATTGGAGACTCCAGTGGTACCAGCGGTTCTCACTCCAGGTACAGTCAGGAGTTTGGAGCCACCGGAGACGATGTGAAACTGCTGGGTTCCCTTCATCAGGTTCATAGGCAGCACGTAGTTGGTCCCAGAGACAAAAACAGCCGTTGTTCCACCAACTTTACCAGTTACTGATGCCAATGCTTCACTGACACTCACTGAAGCCGCTGGCACTGCCTCCTGAACGATGACAGTTCGAGGCTGTCCACCTCCCGACTCTGTAAAAAATAAATTCCTCCTCTTGACATTGACTTCGACCCCGTCGTTCGAGTCACTGGTGATATTTCTGGTGGACTCTGGGGCTGAATCAACTGATGGGGCTGGTGTTGCTGCTTCATCCTGAGACGTGAAGCCAGCAGGTGAATCTTGAACCTGAACAACACCACTGGATGAGTCCTCGGAGCCCATTGTCCTCCCCAAATCCTCAGCACTTGGACTCATCTCCGAGGACTGTTGTCCAGAGGGTTTCGACTTGCCCGATGACTTCTTCCTCTTCGACGACTGACTGGGATTTGTGGGTGGATTAGAGCGTCTCCTGGGTGCTGGTTTATTATTGAGATCTGGTGAATTTCTGAGCTGCTCAGCGTATTCAGCTAGAATCGTGTAGATCCTCTGAGCTGTCTGCTCGTCTTCCTGAGGTTTCTGCTGGGGTTTGGGAATTGGCGAGGCTTTTGATGTATTTGTGGCACTTGTTTTTACAGTCTTGGGTACCGTCTTCTTGTTGCTCTTTGGGGATGGTGTGGGTGGAGTTTTTCCAGCCGATGGAACTGAGGCTGGAGCTGGGGTGACACAGGGACTCGAGGAACTCTGAGACGTGACACTCAGAGCTGGTGATGCAGCTGGCTGACAATAACTCGTAAAAACCACCACTGGTGTTGAATTCGTCACCTTCTGCGTTGTTGTAACATTACTCTGGGTTATTGTTGCTAGGGATACCTTCTGGGGGAACACGTCTTGCTGGAAGGTCACAGCATTTCCATTGCTCGAGAATTCTGAGCTTGAGGATGACTGCGTGGAGATGAGAAGTTGCTGAGCAAGGGCTGACACTGATGCCTGCTGATCATGCTGCTTGGCAACAGTCTGTTGAGTTGTTGTTTGTGTCTGCACAGTCGTTGTAGTTGTTGAGCTCTGGTGCTGCTGCGGCTGAATTGTACTACGTTCCTTCACTTGCTCAAGAACACTCTCGAATTCCCGAAGCTGTTCCAGGGTCGTTGAGCTCACCGGATTAGTGACTTCATTGAGAAGAGAGTCTGCCCTCACCGGAGGCTGCTGAGGAGTTGCAGGGGCTCTCTGCTGATTACTCTGAATCCTCGTACCTGTCAGTGCAGCCTGAATGGCAATATTTTGCTGTCTCATAGGTGTCCTTATGATATTCAACTTGACAACACCAGCTCTGCCCCCTGGCAGCGAATTCGTATGTGAAATTGTGGGAATGAGGTTCAATTGTCCAGGATTTGTCGTCGATATCGTGACGTTCGTGGGAATCTTTTGAGCGTATATAACACCTGGTGATGCATTCTGCACAAGTTGAGTTATCGACTGACTGGCGGTTGGTGTAACCCCGCAATTCGCTGCACTCTGAACGATATTGAGGATTGGCCGTCCAGTGGTTAATTGTAAATTTGGAATGTTCGTTATTGACTGTACATTTATGTTGCCCTGAGTGCTGGGAACTGATGTTTGCACTGCCTTCGAGAGATTCGTGGAGGCTTTTTGGAGGCTGAGGGGCTGGGTAATGGTATCCGTGGTGGATGAAGCTGCTGACGTCGCGGTATCAGCTGATAAAGTGTAGATAGTCTTTCCAAAGGCATGTTGAAACTTTGGTAGACCAGTGTTCTGGCTGATCTGCTGTTGAATTTTAACACCAGGCCTCTCGTAGGTATTTCTCGGTGACTCTGGTAATCTTTGTACATGACGAACAGCAGAACCCTCCTCCAGATTCTGAAGAGTCAAGACACTTCGTTGATTGGTGACGACATTTGGATTGACAGATGCCAGTTGATACATTCCATCCTGTTTATAAACAAGTTGAATTTGTTCCGAAGTTATTGGCAAAGTTCCAGCTGCTGATGGTGATGGTGATTTATCAGGTGAATCATTTTGTCCCATTCGTTGATTTGTTCTAGGGCTGTCGGGCTCGGTGGAGGGATTTGTCGAGCCTGGAGACGAGGTGTCTGGTGGCTGATTTGCCTCTTCCCCCACGTCGTGAAGGGCTGACGACCTCGGAGGCGGTGTCTGACCAGCTGGACTCATACCAACACCACTGTCGTGACCACCAGACGATGGTGTACCTGGCAGCTGAATATTTCCAGCTATACTCGATGTCCTGTTCCTCGGGGGTGTATTTCCACTGTTTATCGAGCCTGAATTTGGACTTTGAGGAATATTTCTAGACAGCTGTACCACATTGACTGTAGACTGGACCCTTGGTGGCACCATCATATCCAGTGAATTCAACCCAGGAACATTTTTCGCCAATCTGTCGATGTCTGAATCCCTCACAGCCTTCGCCAAAAGTCCATAATCATTCCCCAGACCCGAATTCATCGACTTCCTGTTCTTTCGATTTTTATCGTTATCGTTCGGATCACTTTTACGTTTATGAAACGAATTAATCGAATTTTTGTGCGGTGAGAAGGTCATCTTCTTCTGAATATTCCTGAGCTCACTGGACAAATCCCCAGGGCTGAGCGATGGTTTCTTCGACTGCAGTAATTTACGATCAATTTCATCAGCCCTTGTCAACACAATCTTCGGATTCAAATTCAACGTACTCAGCATCGGTGCAAATTTAGCAACACTGTTTGAATTATTATTCGTAACATTGTCCTTTGTTTTGTTATTTAAAATATTTTTCTGTACAACTTTAGTATTCTGCGGTCTAAACATACGCAATGACTTGAGAACAGCTGGATCACTGCGTTTCTCCGTCAATATTCTCAACGGCGTAGCTGGATAAGCCGATGCCTTGATAGTCTCCTTCTTATTCTCATCCATATCAGCAGCAAATAGTGTGATAAGCTGATTACTCACATCGGACCCACTGACATCATCACTGGGTCGTTTTATGTTCTCATTAACTAACATACGAAAATGCTTGGATTTACCCCTCTCCTTCGTTATATCTTTATTGCACGATTTATTCGTCTTCTTGTCCTGTCTACACCCATCACTACCAAGACTGTCAGTCTGGCTGTCCTGAGTATTAGTATCCTCAGTATCCGATACTGATCCAGATTTCACCCTGAAATGCTTTGGTTTACGTTCACTACTGTCGTAATCACTCTCCGAAGACTCGAGCCTATTGAGCTTACGCTGTCTAGGTGTTCTCCTAACTTGAAGCAAACTTCCACTGTCAGAGTCAGACGAATCTTCAAGATTTCGTCTGGCTGTTGGCCTTTTGTAATTCGCCTGAGTGGTATACCTCTCTGAATTGTCCGATGGCACATCCACCCAGGGCTCATATCCCTTCTCTATCCCATAAACACCGATGGCATTCTCCTCATCCGATGGCCAGTCCTTGAACTGATTGTAATCAATTTTCAGAAACTTGAGCTCTTTATTCGTATTTCTCATATCCTCGGCATGATGAAGATAAGTGTCACATAGGGCATTGAGCTCTGTCCAGTCAAGGGCCCAATTGAGATTGTGATACCTAGGACTGTTTAGGACAACCTGGAGATCGTCACAGAGCTGTCGTGATAAACCAAGTTTAACACCATCCAAAACTTGACCCAGTGAATGGCTCCTCTCCTCGTACATCTCTGATATCGTTGAATCTGCACTAGTGTCCAGTGATCGTGATACTGTTTCAGATCTTTCTACGTGTTTTTTGTTGATATCAATGCCTGTGAAGTCACCACAGTTGAAGCACAGATTGCCAACTAGTCCTTGGGTCGTCGAGCTGCTTCTTGGATGCAGTGGACAGCTACTAGGTGGCTCTTTCTTCAGTGGTGATGACAGCAAACTCTTCAACAGTTTATCCCTGCTCTCGACGTCCTCGTGCTTCCCCGATTTCGTCTTGGGTGAGCTTTTTCCTTGTTGTGAAACACCATCCACCTTTCCACCATCGATTTTTCCATCTCCAATACAACTTGATAATCTGTCACCACCAGTTACATCAGTTGTACAACCGTTCTCCTTCATTTTACCACACACCTCAGCAATCTCACGAATTCGATCGTAACAGGCACGAGTTGGGTGCAATGAGAATGCCGTCAATACACACTCCTTGGCGATTTCAATGCTGCTGTCAACGACATCAGCTAATTTCAGAAATTCAGTACTCAGACGTTTCGCTATCTCACGCTCGTGATCTTTGTCCGATTTGGCCTTTTGATTTTCCATTTCATTCATGTCCGTTGTCAGGGCTCTGATGTACGATTCAATTACCACGGGCTTTATACTATCGCCAAACTGTAAATTAATAATTTTGAGCATTAGTAGTGGACCTGGGGGAGGATTTATTAATCTAATAAGTTATCGAAGGTAATGGGGATTGGATTAATCAGGCGCTATCTTTGGGGATCAATTTAATGGGAAATTTTCGGAGATGAAAGCATTATTGAAAATATTGAGTGGCGATTAATGAAAATACTCACATGCTTCAAGAGGACAGCGCAGAACAGGTATATGTGCTGGGCACTCTCAGCTGGTTCAATTAATTTTCTGATCATCTCCGGCAGTGTTGACTGTATTGAATTTTTGGAATACAATTTAGCCCATGAGTTGAAAATCTCCTCCAGTACATTACTCCCAATATCAGAAATGGATCCCACCATGCCCGCTGTTGCCAAATACTGTGCAACAACTTCGGCTGCTCTAGGCGATAGCCTCCAAATACGCGCAGTTCTGTACTTTGTTGGTTTCTCACCGCTTAATCTCTGGAGTATCCCCAGCCCATTATTGAAGTCCATTAATTTTAACTGTGAAGTTTTATAGAAGATATTTCATTATACCATCAAAAACTTTCAATCATTCCGCTGTTGATTAATAGAGAAATAGAATATGAGTCCACAAACGTCATAAAATACAGACATTATTTCAATTTCGAAAATTTTTCTCTCATTTTTTGCTTTTTTACTTGTCTAAAAATTCTCAAATCATTGTAAAGGGAAATATATGCTAAATCAATAATTGCTTGATTAGGAAATCGATTTTAGCAATAATTAATTTTTCTTCCCAAGTCCTTGGAGAGAAAAAAAATCATCAAAAAATCATAGATAAAATTTCTGAACTCATGTAAATCAATTACTCCACCAGAGAATTCAAAAGCGATAATGATGTAAAAATGATGTAATAAAGGTACTTACTTGAGCGAGTATATCTTTAGTGCGTTTTAGTTTGTACAGTATAACAATGTATAGATCAATCATGTACTGAACGTGCTGAGTATCCGATAACGCCTGCAAGCGTTCGCTTCTTCTGAGGGTACGAACGCAAGCAGCAGCAAGATGTATTGCTATGTCCTCACACCGCTCCTCACATAATATTCTTAACCTCATTACTAATAATTCGCCCTTTTCCGAACAACAAAAGTCCTCCTCATCCTCGACATCGTCGTTTCTGTCCTCGTCAGCTGTACGACTAATTATTTTCACTAATACTGGATTTGACCATGGATTGTGGACGAATGATATCAGCGATGTACATATTGATGCTGCAGGGTGTTGGGCAAGATGATTTGCACACCTCTGCAGGGTTACGCCTAGATGAGTTTTTGTTGCTTGTGTCAATTTCGGCCACTCCCCACGTAGTACCAGATCCAGGGTGTGCCTGAAAAAACGAGAGAAATTAAATTCACGACACTTGTTATCAAAATTTCCCTGTCGAAGTCACAAGGCCATTTGCCTCAGCCCCAATTATTCATCAATATCTCCTAAATGAGGAGAGATAGCGAAATTTTTTGCAAATCTTTTTTCTAGTCCGGAAATTTTTCTACAAAAATGATATCCATGAAAATTCTTGTAACTCCTTTTATTTACGAGATACTACGGTTTACTGGGGATTTATGAATTAATCGATGGGAACAGGTGATCGAAATTTAAGGGATTCTTATAGATTTAGAATGAGATAATTAAAAAACGGACTTTTAAATGTAAGGGAAATGTGGAGAAAGCTTTTCTTGTTCAATACAGAAACCGTTCATGTCACGTTTCGCTAAATAAAACATATTCTCCTAGTTCTGAGGATTGCATGTAATGAGCTTTTAGTGGAAGTAGAAATTCGAAAATAATACGACTGGACGTGTTTCGAGCTTTCAGTAATTGGAGACCTTGTACCTATTCAGCTTTTTTTCTGCGCCATGAATTTTACTAGGTTTTGACTGTAGGTGCTAATAAACATCTGCGGAAAAAATAAAAAAAACTGGAAAAGAAGTAATTGACGCGCCGTAAGTTTCCAGTTAATGCAGCTAAAAATTAATTGACGTGACTCGCGTGGATTTAAAAAAAAAAAATGTATGTTACTTAGAATTTCAAACCCAGTTAGTACTGAATCCACAGATGAATGCAGCACTTAAATAATTTTCAATGAATTCAAGGAGAGACGTGCAGAAGCTATTGCAACGTGAAAAAAATCGAATGGAAATAGGATTTTTTTCTAAGTGATTATAGAAACAGTCCCGCATCACGTTTCAATGAATGGAACATGTTCTCTGGGTTTACAGTTTATTAATTTCAAGGTTGAAGCGTAAATTCGAGAATAATAATGAAGGAAAACACATTAGCGTCCAGTAATGAAGGGAAAGAGAAGTCGAGTTGAAATTTAATGCTCAGGTGGAAATATTCTCATAGAGGAGTTTCCATTGTAATTACTTCAAATTTTTAATTAGAAAGAAGACTGATTCTGACGAATTCTAGATGAGCTAAAGCAAAATTCAATCATCAGAATTAAAATGTTTGCAAAGCAGCTTTCAAATTGTTCTTTATAAGCAGAAACAAAATTCTAATTGGCAGATGTTGGTGAAGGCCTTCAATAATTAATAATCAATTGTCTGATTTTCAGTGGATGCAGAAATAAATGTGAAATATAATTGGGGTATCATAAAACAAATAATAGTCGGGGGATGAAATATGATTTTTTAATTGGTTCCGTCAGAGCAATCATGATTGAGATACAGTGCACGTATAATTAGTCTTGTCGAAGGATTGTTCTTGTCTATGAAAATATTTTTGTATTGTAGAAAAAAATCGAGTGTTTCCATCCGAGAGTCAATGGAAATGCAGTCGAGAATGTCAGATGCTATTTTTATATTTCCACCTGAAAAATCCGACATCAAACTTTTCCGACGTGAAAATTTCCACTGGGGTTTCAAATGCAGTCGTCAATTGCCTTCGCAAAAACAGAATTTTCGGAGATAATAATAGAATTTTATCCATAGAACTGGAATTGCCTTCACTCATAAAAAAAAATCCTTCGCAGCATCTCAAAAAAAAAAATATTCTCAGTAATCATTCCAAAGAAACAAACTTCAAACTCGAACAAATCCTAAGAAATTTAAATTAACAATGTCTGAATGCCCCTCGAAGTTCCAAATATTATGTGTAAGCCTTCTTGAAGTCCCAGACTCAAAATGTAAAATAACAACCCGTGAACTTCGTTTAACTAAACGCAGAGAATTCATGGTTATTACCTCCACATAATAAAAATATTCCCACAAAAATAAACGCATTACCTCCGGACCACAAACTTTAACGAACTCCTCGCAATAAAAAATATTGTAAACAATAGAAAAGGAAGTAATTAAAAAAATGAAGCTGGGACTTCATTTTCAATGTAAAACCGAGTAAAAAAAAATCCTGAAACCCGAAGGAAATAGAAATCATAAAGAGCCTTTTTAAAAATAGAAAAGAAAACAACAGCCAAGGATTTATATGGTTTCTTATTTCCCGGATGCTACGCAGTAAGCCTGAATGGAGCACTAGATGCGGCTTTTTGCATAATTTAATTGGATTCGTGGAATTAGCATATCAAATAGAACGATAATTCAATCTTTCATTCCTTTTTCCTCTGCGGTCTTTTGTCTCTTTTAGGCTTCAACCAATTTCCCCGTAGAAAACAGCTCCACAGTGCAATTTTCCATTTTTTCATAAAACCCAAAAACTAAATGTGTGCATTACCATTATTTTAATAACCAAATATCTTGCGCCATGATTAAAATTTTTTACCCTCGCTCTCAGAACATTTTTAACGAACAAATGAAACGAATTATTTATACGAAATACTTGGAAGTTCAATTGGATTTCGGAGAATTGTTTAAACAAATGATATATCTGAGACTCCGAGGGTGGAATTTATCATTTTGTCTTATAAAAATGGGAAATTTGGTTTTTAATGGGATCATTTTGGGGAACAATGACAGGAAAATTAATGGAAATATTAGTACTTACTTGTGGACCCATTCTATGAGCTTCTGGGTGTCTTCTGGGCTTGCGGTAGGAATGTAATTGGTGACTTGAGTCCAGGCAGACAGAAGTGCATTCACCTTGTCGCCGTATTTCTTTTTGCTGTCACTCAATGTCGCTTCAAGCCCCTGAAATCAGTGTTCCTACCATGTACATTCGTAGAATAGACAAACAGCCTGAATTCCCGTACAGCAAATTAATTCCACCAAGTGATAAAGAATTAGCGAGTTATTCAATGAATATGTGAGAAAGTTAAATAAAAGCCTGGACAGATCTCTTGATTTATTCAGATCTACTTCAACCCATCAATTCTCTCATATTCCCAAAACGACAACAACGCATTTATGAGACCCTCAAACAAGCATCTCCTCGCCCTTTCCCAACGCTTTTATTATCCCAACACCTGAGGGAAATGATTTTTAATGAGTCACTGACGTTTATTATTCGGAAAAAAAGGGGGCACTTAACTGATTGGAGGAGTAAGTGAAAGAAATGAATCTACATCGCTGAAGAAATTCAATTTGACTCATTTAAAAATGAGTGACACAATTTGCCGGATGAATTTCCACATCTCGAATTTATCTGAAAATCTTTCAACAAGTTCAAAGAGAGATCTGCACTAATCACAATAACTTTGATAATATGATACATTGTTAACGACCTCGTGGATTTGAATCGTCAATTGTGGTACATCAACAACCTGTGTCTGAGAGGTCGTAGATATCGGATTGTCTCCCAGAATAATATCCCCAACGACCACACAATCTCCTGATCTTCAGGTATAACACAGAGGACACCGCAAATAATGTAACATACCCTTTGAAGTATTCCGACGCAACAGACACAATTAAAGTTGAAAAAAGCTCGAGAAGTGAAAGGCCAATACCTACGTGCTATTTTCACCCGGTTAATCGTCTATTTCGAGGTAATTAAAAACAGATCTATGACGACAGTGATTATAAATAAATAGTCGTTAGATATAACGGATGAGAAAACTGCTGAACGATCAACAAAAATTTTTCCCCAAGCCATCTGTACCAAAACGATAAAATTTAACTCATGACTTTACGAACCTGACTCTTCACGACTTTTTCCTGTTGGATTATTTATAAATAGTGTAATACACTTGAACTATTGGAATATCCAATATTTGAAGCATTTGAAATAGAGCGATCATTCGTTGGAACAATAGGAATCATAGAGAAGACATTTGAAAGGCGTCGAACTGCAATTGTGATAGGAAAAAGTTCAACTTGCGATTCATTCTTCACTTGTTTGCTGGAGAATAGGTGCGCCATTAAAACTGGAACAGAACAAAAAGGTAGAAGGTGGAGAAAGAAAAAAATATATATATAGAAGCATGAAGTAATGCGAGATGAATGCTTGAAGGCTCGCAAAAGTTCTACATCCCTGGATTTCCATGAGTGCTTCTCACTCTTCCATAACTCAGAGGCTCCCACAAACTGATATATCTCACACAGAGAGATATTCCCCGGGTTATTCCTATATGCAAACGGTATTTGGTCCATGAATTTCCAACAAATTTTCAGATACGCGTGTGGGATTTGTGGTTAAAATATACACTCGTGGTTACCACAATTGCCTAGATAGGATTGGAAGAGTATTCCTGGCCTTTTTTTTTAAACCAACGACTCGTAACTAATATTTAAGAGAAAAATGTCCTAATCTCCGGGAATAAACAATGATATCACACTTTGTACACTTTTTTGGGGGAATATCCACTAGCTGGACACTCTGGACACAAACGATTTTTTCCGAATCACCATTTTTTCTGGAAACCACTGCTGACATTTTTACCCACCATAACTATCTCTTGGGTAATCAATAATCGATAATAGATGAGTCGAGAGTTCAAGTCCAGTGGATTTTCTGAGGGATATAAAGAAAGTATGGAAATCATGACAAAGTGGAAGATATTCGGGTTAAAGGGAAATCTGATGAAAAAATCGGCGATAAATAACCAGAAAATAATTCAAATGAATATCCTGAAGCTATTCCTTCCACAGGTACTCTGAAAACCTATTAACGAGAGCGTAAAAATCCAGGAGAAAAGAACGAAATCAAGGTAAACCAATAAATCTCATCAGTACATAAGCCACAATCAATATTAAATCCGTAACAAGCTGGCACAGCTGGGACTTAAAATTGAGAGCTATTACAAATAAATGGATGAAGTCAAAATGTGAAGATAAAAAAAAACAGCATCGACAGTCATTTCAGTTTAAAGGCTCAGAATATAAAAAATCCCCTGAACCTAATTCTGGCGGAACTATTCCCCAAAACCATGAAAAACCCTCATCAAAAAAAAAAATCCGAAAAACAAATCAAGATAAACAAATAAACCCTCTCAACCCATGACACTGCATTAAAATAAAAGCCATAAAAATCCATCATGCGGGGAGAAAAGCGGAACGTTGACACTGGCCAATGCCTAATGAAAATTTATGACCACTGATATTTTGTTTGAGGCACAAGATAGTTATTGGTTGAATTCCATCCACCGATGTGTACTTTACTAATCGATAATCAATATCCGGCAGAACCATGATAATCATGATTCGTACGGTTAATCAGCGATTCCCCTCTTCCTCCAAGGAATGAAAATCACAGATGAGTGAAAATAAGAAAAATAAGAAAACCGGAAGTTGAAATGCAAAATGCATTCCGAGGTGAATTGCCCTCTGAGGGGTTTATACTCGTTTGAAACATGGCATTTAACTGCACCATGATTTTCCACTGGAGTGCAGCGTGCCCTGAAACTTCTGGGCTCAATGTTTGACAAGTTTCTGGTGAGGGAGTGGATGGTGAGAGGTATGTGGGTTTGATGTGTTCAACCTGTCTCGGTTGGATTGTAATTGCTGAGAGAAACTGCTATTGTCAACATCTGGCTGGAGATAAAATGTGTAATATCGTTGGGCTTCAGCACAATGCTGATTGAGAAGACCAAACGATTGTTTTCAGTATAACAACATGAAGACAACATCTAGATAAACTCAATGATTAAATAATGGTGACAAAACCCGTAAAAAAAGGACTCATCACTCTGATAATGTTCATTTGCCATTTGCCATTCGCCATTTGCACAGTGATAAAGTTGGAAAATCTGATCGAAAAATTCCTGATCCATTTCATTCATATTCGACTGGAATATAATCCGTGATGATCGATTGAATTCTCTTCCACTCCAGTTAGTCCATAAATATTGACTTCCATCGTTTCTGAAGTGAACAGATCAAACAGGAAATTCAAAAAAAAAAATAAAAAAACATGAAATACAACCGAATCAACATCAGTTGTTAACTCTGCAGTTGTCCTCGGTACGACGGAGATGGGGAATAAATCAGCGTTAAAAAAAAAAACAATACAAATTTGTAAAATAAACATGAAACAAAAAAATGCCTACCGAGGGAGGTATCATGCTGATTGTATGGTCGTTATATTCCGTCGATGACTAAAATCTTGTCTTGTTACACTACGACGATAATCCATCGTACGTGCCAGCTGATGCTCTCGCGAGTTTACGCTAAAAAAGAAGATAATAGGAATATTTTCAGTGAATTTAAACTGTCGCCGCTCAAATCTTTCACTGAATAAATATTTGTGCATTTGCGTAATGAGCCAGAGCCTCCCTGCCCCCATTGTAATGTATCTCATCAACAGAATAATCAATAGACACTGATAAAAAATTATAGGTCGATTGATTGAGCTCGGCAGAGAGGATTGATCTGGATGAGAATATTTCATCTCTATATATATTTCCTCGGAGGTAATGAAAATTCACGAGAAATTATAATAATGAACAATGAGTTCAATTCTGGGATAAATCGGTGGAATTTATTTCTCGGTTTATGAAAAATAAATGAGCCTGACAATCAGAGTGGCTCTATTTTTGATTGCTGTGCAAAACTGTCGAGCCATTCCATAAGTCGAATACGGAGTGTGAGAGGGAATGAGTCAGGTAACAGTCGAAGGGTAACTGAATTTATTATACGCCTTGTGTCCCTTCATTCAATGTATCTCCAGCGAGCGCCGAACAATCCAACAAACTGGATCGTTAGTGTCCCGAGAAACTAACACCCAAAAATTTCGAGTTGCTGGGAAAGAGTTGCTAAAGGACAGGGTAGGACTCGAATTGAAGAAAGCAGGAGTGAAAGAGAACGAGAGATTAGGTGGAACTGTGCACTTTATCGTAACTTTTCCCATTCACTCAAGTTTGCGTTGGAGAGGGCACTCAGCTGTTATTTCTGTCTTTTTGTTATTCAATAAACCCAGTTTCTATATAATTATGATAAATAAGTTCATTCGCTCTGTCATTAATTGCGAGAATCACGATGAAAAACGACTTAAAATTAATTAAAAAGTTCAATTTATCCAATGAAAAACCCATGAAATTCATCCCAAAAATGTAAAAATGGAGCAGGAGGATAGAATGCAGAATTGTTAAACTGAGAATGGCCTCTCGAGTGATTGATTAATTAAAGTATTGATTGATTTCTCACCAAGCACGCCTTTTGGATGTGTGAAGACATTCAGAGTAATGGCGTATCCAGCAGTGTTTTATTCCGAACAGCCGCTGGTAACTCGGATAACAATAATTATTCAGTATTTTTTTACAGCGATAGTGCGATCGCCCTTGGCACAGCCCCGGTGGTGGTCTAAGCACCTTGATGACACTTGGAGGCGCCGTTTTTTGTGCCCACAAGCACCTTCCAGGAGCAACAGGGGCACAACTCGTGGCGGACATCAGCTATCACCCAGTCCTCCTACCAATATCGAGTCGCCCAATATTATTTTACCCGTCACTTCTTCCGCTATTTTTCCATTCAATCATAGATTCTTTATCACTTTTTATCTTCCAGTCATCAAAGGATACTTCACTCGAGCATCTCCAACTCCTGAAACCAACAAAACATTATTAAACTCCACCTTAATTACATATTTATCAAATAATCGATATCTGAATTTTCCATTCACTCGGAAATTGTTGGAAAATTTAAAAAAATATACAGTCTGATGATGAAGTTTTATCACTCGTTCGTGCTCACTTGAAATTATTCAATAAATTTATCGAGCACCTTTAAAATCCAATAAAGAAAATTCCAAAGATGCATTTCCCCATTTATCCCATAAAGTGAAGTTGAAAAATTTTCCAATAAGTTTATTGATCATCTGGAGAGCACTCGGCATTGATATTAAAAGAGAGTTTAATGAAAAATGTCGGATAATTTGCGACATCAATCGATGCCAGCCCCAATGTCTCATCTCGTATCTCAAAAGGAGACAGAGTAAGTTGATATTTCGACTCGTTGAAATTCTCCAATCAAGCGTCTACTCCAAAATGAATAAAACAATTCATCCCCTTCCATTTTATTTTTCTTGGAGACAGGAAGTCTTTCTGTTCCCACCCTCCCTATATTCCCGTATTATCAGCCTTCAGACTCTTCGAACCTCTCCTCTACCACCCTATCAGCCCCCCTCAACCATCCCCTCGCCCCCTCACCCCTACCACCCCCACTTGTAAGTGTGCCAAGAGCAAAATACCCCTCAGGTCACCGGCATTATCTCCGTCCTCTTTCATACCTCATTCCATTCTCCATCTCCTCCATCCACACAACTTTTTTTTTTCTACCCCTCATGGTCAAACTTTTCTTGACTTTTAGAGACCTCTACACTTTAATTTCACATTCCCTAGCTATCTCTACACTCATACAACAAAAAAAAATAATTAGAAAGATGAGAAGCGCACTTTTACATTCTTTGTTAATTACACCTTTACCCGGCAATGGGTGATTTTTTTTAAATCCTCAAAGACCCATTTTTCAACTCTCAAAAATTTCCGCAAATGTACGTCTACAAATATTTACCTCCCTCCAACCCCTCGTTCGTTAATTTACTTCCGTCTGTATTTGTAAAACGTGGGTAAAGAATTAAAAAAATTAAAAACTAGAGCTACATAAAATGAGTCTATTTTCCAGGTTCAAAAAACCTGAATTTCTCTCATTCCCCCACAAATTTATTTTATAACGATTTAATTCACAAAGTAAAAATCCCAAACTTGATACCGATCTCAAAAAAATTTTTGAAAAACCGGAGTTCAATGATCCCAAAATAAAACCCCTTAAAAAAATGAATCAACATAACCATTACGTAATACTTTCATTCAACTCCACCCAATTGCCTCCCCCACTATTTTTTCTCTCGTTAAACTTTTTCTGCACTCGCCTCATGCACCTCTCGCACTTCACCGGATCACCACGTTAATTGCCTATCTGCACGAAACTTTAGTGACTTACCCCCC